TGCAAAAATATGTGCTCTATAATTGTTGAGAGGGACCCATGAAGAAAGCTTTCAAAGACTTCCTTTATATTGTTACAATTTAGAAGGAAGAATCTAGGGACAATTACACACATAAAGATAGACTCAACAATTTGATACACGACACAAACACGACACGAGTTTTCGTGTATGAATTTTAGAAATTCGTGTTACGTGTCTATTTGTGTCGACAAGAATTTAAAAATTCGTGTTTTGTGTCTTATGGGTGTCAAACACGAATTTACCTGTTTAAATATGTATAGACACAAATTTAATTTGTGTTGGGGCGCAACACGTATAAACACGCGACACGCGACAGGGATAAACACGCATAAACATGTATATACATGAATTGAATTTGTGTAAATTCGTGTATATCCGTGTTTTCATGTAACACGGTTAAAAACGTATCTACTCGTGTCATGTCACTTGTCACACAGATTAATTATGAGTCGTGTTCGTGTTTGATACCTAAGACACGTTTTACAATTCAAGTCGTGTTTGTTAAATTTTTTATGGTGTGAATTTGTGTCTGATACGCATACACGACACATAGACACGGATTGCCAAATCTACATAAAGATAGATGGCAAGAATATATTTGAATAATTTTTCTCTACTATCGGTTACACGATAATATTTCTTATGTATACTTTTTTGTATCATGTTGCTGAAGAATGGGAGACTACAATGGATAAAGTAATACATGTTTGTTTTTGTGTAGTCCTCAACCTCTATTGTATTAATTATTTCTATTAATTTATTTTCTGGAGGTGCCACCCTCTTTTGGCAAAAACATTTTATTGAATTAGCACATGTTATTGTTTCGAATATTAATTGTAATTATTTGATTATAATTCTTTTACATAGAAAGCCTTATTTTTTTAATTTTGTCCCAAGTCTCAAATCGGTTTAGACCGGTTCTGGATGTGTTTCATAGAGGTTCATTATAAATTTATAATTAAACTATATTCAAAATAAAATAGATTTTAAAAATAAAAATAAATGAGAATTAATCTAGAAGTTCACATGGAAGTCACGTTCGTGTCATGGATGCCATAACACATTCTAATGAAGAAATTCAAACATGGAAGGTGGTAGTGATTGTGGTTGAGCACTATAAACACATAAGACATTCTAATGAACAAATTCAAACATAATTTGTACGAATATAAAAACAAAAACCACTTAGCTTAAACTATATTCAAAATAAAATATATTAAAAAATTAAATACAAATGAAAATTAATCTAAAAGATTACATGGATGCCATATCATGTGGACCTATATAGTGCAATCAAAATTTGTCAATGTAGATGACACAAACTTGAAAACTATTTCCACATGCTATAGAAGGTTATAGTGACAAGATAAAACCAAAAACCATACTTTGGCCACAAGTTTGTCCCAATTATAACTTTCTTCACGGATAAATTGGTCATAGTAAATTATCTAAATATGACATGAACCCTTGAAATGAACATATTTCTAATGTTACAGGCATATGATTATTCATTCATAAAGTACGTCTTATTTTCCATAAATTCGACCAAAATAACTAAAAGTACGCTTAAAATATATAATTCCCCAACATGCACACAAATCATTGTTTTCATGTGATTTGCATTATAAACAGAATAAGAAAAATTACAAAAGTGTCTAAGTAGAGGGCATAGAAATTTTAACACAATATGAATCTAATTCGTGACGACCAAAAACGCTAGAAGGAGGGGTCGAACCTCCGACCTTGTGGTTAACAGCCACACGCTCTAACCAACTGAGCTATTCCAGCTTTTGTATTCATGTCTTATCGATAATGTAATAAACATTACCACATGGTCGAATAGATACCAACTACTCTATTACCAATTGTTGTTGAATTAAAGTATATTGAAACCCTCCTAATAACTCAAAAAAGAAAAAAGAATGTGCAAGCAACATGCACAATCTATAATATTAATGAGGAATATAAATGATAGAAAATCTCTTTTGAGCCTGTATATTTTGTCTTTTTAAGGTTTCATTATTTCCACAATATTGAAATAAATAATATGTGGTTATTATCAAATAGTAAATATTTCAAATATGTTGTGATGCTTTTGTTTGATGAATATTTTTTTACCTTTCTACTGTAACAACCTAACACGTAATTAGTTGAAAACTATATGATTTTATATAAAACTGAAAGTAAAATAGTTAGAACCTTTTAGAAATAATTAAAATACTTTGAAAATAATTTGATAAAAAATCATGCTAATTTCATATAACATTTTTCATGAAATAGTAAAAAATTAGCTCAATCACCAAAATAAGTTAATAACCATCAATTTCACAGAAATTGACAAACCATCCGCAAAATAATGATGTCATCTGGTAAATAGTGATGACGCAGCTAAAATAATGTAATTTTTAAAAGAAAATATCTAAAAATAAAACTATGTGGATTTGGTTATAACATCACATTTATAATTGAGTTCATCATTTTAACGTTGGTTCCAGTTAGCTATTTTGGTGATTGATAGGACTAGTTTTTTTAATATATTTTAGAAATGCTTTATGAAGTTAGTGTGATTTGTCTTTTTGCAAATAATTAAAAAACTTTGATTATTATGAGTGGTTAAAAAAAGATTTTCTAGAAAGTATATTTTTAATTTTGATTGGTGTCAAGGTTACCCAATTGCCAATATTTGTTACAACTAAAATTGTGTTTGGAAAGTCATCGTCAATGAGTGTTGTGTAGTTAGTGGAATTTGACCATTCTTTGGATGCGCAAAAAGCCGCCTCTCTCCTGCTTGGACTTGGAGCAGGTGATTGTAGGAACAAGTATTTGCTCATTGACATTTGCCCCCCTATATAGTTTTGGGCTTATTTATTTAATTACTGTGTTTTTCCTAAAATAACCTTAATCTAAAGTGAGATTGCTTGTGGTGTTGGTTGGTAAATGGTAACCTAGGGGGCAAATTGGATTATTTGGACCCCCTTTGATAGTTTGATTAACACTTTAATTAACTCAATTTGTCTATAAATATCATTAATTGATTATATTATTAAACATTTATATTGGTGGGCAAGAATGAATTTTAACTTTTAAGTAAAATATATTAATAAATCAGTATGCCATCAGGATTATTGAACATTAAACCGAAATAAGCAAATCGACAAGTCTAGTTTTATATGATAAATTTTAGGTTTTGTTCAAAGAAAATCTTATACATAACGCTTGATTCATGATTTTCTTGATGTGCCAAAATAACAAATGTATATTTTTACAAATAAAAGATGATGTTGTTTTTGACATTTTCAGTGTGGGATGTCTTAATCTAGGATCTTATATATTTGAATATAACATTTTTTCGAATTAAAAGTTAAAAGTAAGATAATATGGAGATGAGTAGCTCGCACAAAACCCACTTTAGTAGCAATATAGCAAGTGGTATTATAACTATGAAATTGTCAAGGTTTAATAATGGTCAAATTTGGCATCCTTTTCAATCCTTGGATTAAATATTACCAAATTGCCCTTCAAGCTAATTGCAAATTGTTTTGGTCTAATAACACCTTTCTAATTGAGAAAAAAACCTCCACCCTACCCCATGTAACACCTACTTTGCCTACCATGTTGAACATGTGGGCTTAATGCATCTAAAGTCATTAGTTATAAATCATGGATTCAATTTTAAGTCTTTGTTAGTTTAAATATAGATACATCAATATATTATTAAAACTTCTAAAACAATAGGTCAAACAAGTTTTTTTGGAAGGTTGACATTGATCTTCTGGTATACTAACCAAAGCTTGGTTCAATTAGATTATGAATTCATAGTTTAGGTACAATGTTTGATTATTTTGTACATTTCAACAACTTTTTTAAGATGCGTGAATAAGCAAGCTACACATTACACAGGCTTTATCCATTTGACTTTCTTGTCACTTAAAAATCCAAGGATTTTATGCATGCCTTATCTAATGGTAATGTTCTAGAGAATTTGTAAATACAATTGTCAAGTTCAAATATATGCATTATTTTATATGTTTTATAGGCATAGCGATTTACATTTTTTCTTTTTCATATTTTCCTTAAAATCTGATAAAAGTGTTGGAAGATGACGTTTACTTATTTAAGGTATGTTTGACGTTGAGTTTTTAAGATTTTTTTAATTGTTTTTTAGAAAAGTAAAACATCGAATTGGACAACTAAATTTGCCAAGTAATTTATGAAAATGACTTTCAGATTTTACATACTAGTTTCTTCATGAGGTTTTATATAACTTTATAATTATGAAAACTCATATTTCTTCATGAGGTTTTATATAATTTTATAATTCTGAAATCTTACAACTAATTTTGCCAAGTAATTTATAAAAGTGAAAGCTACAACTTTGAGATTTTGAAATCTTACTAACTACTAGTTTCCAACTTTAAGATAAAAATCAAAATTTCCATTTATAATGGAAACCAATTAATTTCAAATAAGAAAAATAACATATGATATTTATATTACCATTTGTTAAATGACATGATAGTTAACATTATTTTGGCCTTACTTTTTATTTTATTTCTATCGGTTGATAAATTATTTTGTCATACTATACCACCAAATAATAAATTCCATATATTAACTTTAGCCAACATGATATATTTTCATTTCTATAACCACCCTTCTCCTACAAGTTAACATTGTTTTGTTTTCAAGAGAAGATTAAATATATAAAGTAGGTTTAACGAAAATCGGAAAATGTCAATTTGCTTTATCCTGAAGGGCATAAATGTCAATAACACATCAAAAACAACCCTCCAAGTTTCGTCAATCCTTCATTTCAGTACCTCGATTTTCAAACCGTGTGTCCCCACCATCTTCATGTATATAAAACCCAGTGGCACCTCATTAAAGTCATTCATCAAATTAACTACATAAGATCGAGTTCAGATCTTCTAGCATCGAAGCAAAAAACCATTCGTACTTCTGCAAAATTCAATCGAGTTATGGAAGGATTGATCCCATTTCTGATGCATGCCATGAAGAAACAACGGCCTCAAAATAATTACAGGTCTCGATCCGTCGGTTCCACCCGCAGCTACCATGTCCTCGTCGGAGCTGACGCGACGGTGGATAACTCCTCCCACCGCCGTACCAGATCGGAGTTTCATTCACCGACGAATGAATTTATGGAACAGAGATCTGGATTTGGTTGTATTCCTCAAGCAAAGAGCTACAAGCGAAGTTCTACTACAGGTTTAACTCCAAAGTCATATCAAGGTTCAAATCCCTAAAATTTGTAAATTCACGGAGAATTGAAAGGTTTTTGATGAAATCTACACTTGAATTTTTTGATTAATTGTAATGAACGGTTGTGTTTGATTGTATAAATATGTATGTGTGTATCTTCTAGTTGATAATTAATAGAAGATTATTGAATCCATGAAGTATGAAAGTGAAATTATGTGTGATTCTCTCTCTGATCAACAATCACCATATAAAACACTCGCAATTAATTATCTTCGATTCATAATCATTACTCATTAGGGGGCTGATTGCGTTTTTTGAAAGGGTAATATAGTTGATTAAACTAAACAGTTATAACATGTTTGTATAAAAATATATCATAACTCATTGCATACATATGTTTTATAGAATGCTACAATATAGTAATATTTAAAAACATAAATAAATTGTTATGTAAAAAGTAAAATTATACTGTGGGTCCTTTTTAACAACGAAAATTTCATTACAACTACTTTAACGAAAGATAGAGCAATCCCAAAAGAAGGGGTTACATGGATTTTAGAGCAATAAAGAAGGGGTTACATGGTTCTGGCACAGTTTGATACTAATAACGCCAGCGGAAGCGGAAGTGGTGCCGGTTATGCTAATCACAATAGTAATCAAGGGAACCCGCAAGTGTCTGCTGACAAGGACACCCCAGACCACAAGCCTAAGAGCAATAAGCGAAAGTTCTGGGACAACAAAAAGGGGAAAAAGTCGGCTCAAGGTTTTACCCAGAGGCAACAGCCCGTGACTACCCCTGCGGTCACAACAACAGTCATAACATCTGACACTTCATCTGCCACTACAACCTCCGTCAAACGATATGCTGGGAGTCTCCCAAGGTGCGACAAATGCACCTACCACCACAACGGAGCTTGCCGAGAGATACAGTGTACCAATTGCAGCAGGAAAGGGCACATTGCCCGTTTCTGCAGGGCGCCGACACGGTCAATCCCCCAAGTAAACCTGGCTTGTTTCAAGTGTGGCAAATCTGGACACTTTAAGAGAGACTGTCCAACAGAGGGAGGTAACAGAGGAAATGGAGGAATCTAACGACAAGACATAAGGGAGCAACGAGGAACCCCGCTTTTGAAGTTTTGGTACGTCTTCGAAATAATAATTACTTTAAAAATTAATATATATTTATATAAGATTAAAACTTGGGGAAAACACTTAAAAAGTAATTATAATAACTCACTTATCGGAACAAGTCATAGTATTCAAGAGAACTAAAAGATCCGTTCAGAGAAGCTATGATGGCTTAGTATGTACATCAGGGTTGTGCATAGCTAAGATTTTGCAGACTTACAGTGAGTGATTCCGCCTTAATTCATGTTCCTTGTTTGGTTGTGGATTTGGGGCAGAGTTACTCAGTCGACGGTCTTATTCATCTTAATTAGTCATAACTTGTATATTCCAGACGATCATAGTGGTACCGAGGAGGATCGTAGTATAAAGTATCGACACTAGTTATCAAAGCACTTTCACAGTATGTACTCGCTCATCGCGGTACAATACGTAGAAGTGTTAACATCAAGGAGAAAACAGAAAGCACTAGAAAGTATACACATAGTACATTGTCGAGCACACTAGGGATACATCATCGTATAACAAACATTTCTTTCAAATCGGCCAAACTTTGTTCAGTAAAGAGTCCGTTGCTATCATTCGTCATGAATTGGCGTGGTCCTCACCATACTAAGTTCATATGTTTCCATCGCCTTGACCGTCAAATTCACGAAACCTTCGTCATTCGTAACGACAGTACGACCCAGACTTCAGAATCGTCTACCTCGTATTCTAAACCCCGAAGTACTCATGCGAAGAGTACTTTGCCCTCCGAAGCCTTGCCGACGTATGTTCAGTAGACCTTCCCGAAATACCACTCGTTCAGCAGACCAAGTTCAAGCACAGAGGCTAAGGACGAATACAGCCCACCTATCACTAATATGTGTATACGCGAGGGTGGTACATGATTATGATTACGCAGATTTAGTATGTGTGCTTTCGCCCTATCTCATGTTCCTTGTTTGGTTGTGGACCTGGGGCAGAGTCGCACATCCGACCGTCTTACTAATCTTAATTATATACGACTCGTATACACGAGGTAATGATAGATGGACCAGGTATGAATCCTATCATTGACATTAGGGTAAAGTTGCCCAGGTCTACGAGTGGGTATTCTGCCAATCAGAGGAGCACAACCCCAGTAGTACTGATAAGAAAGCTAATTTCGGGACGAAATTCCATCTAACGGGGGGATGATGTGACAACCCGAAATTTTTTTCCTTGTAAGTCCAGCCATTCAATTCAACCGAGTGTCAGACCCGTTTCTGCTATCTTTTAGCATTGTTTAGAGTTTGTTTAAGGGTTCAAAACTAAGTACAATCAAGCTATGGGCTCAGGGAGGTGTCAGCTAAAGTTCTTCGCGTTGAAATTGAGCCGAACACTCCATCCAAGGGAGTGTACGACCGTACACATGGGTGTACGGACGTACACCCATGATGACCGTACACCCACCCCTATATATATAAGTCCTCCCTCCATTTTTATCCATTTCTTCAACTCCCAACTCAAGAAATCAGATTCTCTCTCAACTATCATCGAGTTCTTCACCTTGTTCTTCAAAAACGTAAGTATTCCTTCCATTGATTAGTTGATACCTTGCATAATCTAGTAAAGATCCATGATTCAAAGCCTTGATTCATCATCAAACTCAAGAACATCAAGAGTGTACGGCCGTACACTCTATCTATGGCCGTACACGCTTGTTAAGTCCATAATCTAAGGCTTCAAACACTTGCTAAGTGCTAGTTATCCATTAGAACTCTTGAAACCTTGAACCCCTTTGATTTAAGACCCAAAAATACATCCATCTTGGAGAGTGTACGGCCGTACACCCTTGCATGGCCGTACACCCCTCAAAACACCGCAAAAGGGCCTCCAAAGTGAGAATCTAGTTCATATTCTTGATGAGCAATCGACCCACTAGCTTTCCCATTGTTCAAAGACCCTCTTATGCATGTTTTACCATGAGTGTACGGCCGTACACTCCATGGCCGTACACACCATGTTGTGGCCTTAAACACCCTTTGATGAATCACATGTGATTCTAACACTTAGTCCAAGTGATTCCTAGTCCCTAAGGGTATTTCCTTGCATGTTAGTTGCTTTTAAACACTATATTCATGCCAATATATGCCATTATATGTCATTAGGACTGGTCTGTGTCTCGGGACTTCATTCGTGGAACTTCTCATCCTTACGCGCATATTCGTTTGAATCACCCACATAAGGTGAGTTCATACCCCTATAATCAATCTTTTAACTGTTTTAAATGCTTTTAAGGGGGGGGGGGATACATGTTGAACACAATGATAACTGTGTAAATGTTTTGTTATAAACATCTTTTAAAGGATTGCTTATGTATTTATAAGTGATCAAAACATTTCAAAAACTCTTTTAAAGTTATGTTACTTTATAGTTTACAAAACTCCGTTTTTAAAGTATAATCATAACTTAGTAGATAAATGAGTCTTTTCTTCAAGTCAATAACAGTTCAAAGTAAAGATACTAGTAAAATATAATAGGTATAGTTTAGGGGTTCAGTTCACACTAGAACATAGAGAACATACTATAAAGAGAAACAGGGAGGTAGATACAATACACGATAACATAGAGAACATACTATAAAGAGAAATAGGGAGGTAGATAGAATACACGATAACATAGAGAACATACTATAAAGAGAAACAGGGAGGAAGATACAATACACGATAACAGAAAGAACATACTATATACTATAACAGAAGAACAAATCATGATTAACATAATTATACTAATGATTCCCAGTAACCTAGGAAGGGAACGTATCACTAACTCATTGTTCTAAACAAAAGGTGATAATAAAAGTAGTATAAAGGATATATATATATATATATATATATATATATATATATATATATATATATATATATATATATATATATATATATATATATATGGGGTACATCTACAAAGTACCGGAGTTATATATGGGGTACATCTACAAAGTACCGGAGTTATTTATAAAGGGGTACATCTACAAAGTACCTGACATTAATAAATAAAACACTTAAATATATACAAAACTCACAACAATATTGATAAAAACGTTAAGAGTATAGGATTCATTACTCCTAGTAATTGTCTAAACAATAGAACAACACTGCATAACATACTAGTAACATGAACAAGTACTTCAGTATGTCAATTTAAAAGACAACTGTATACTTTCATTTTTCCCATTACTTTCATATTGTGACAGTTCCACTTGAAAGTTAATGCAAACTATTTACAGGCTAAGATAATTATAAACCAGGGAAAACTTATATCATTACAAGCAACAAACAGAACAGTCGAGTCTAGTACATTCAGTAGGAAGGGGCCTATAATGCTAACTTTATGATTCCTTAGTTTATACATCAGGGATATATATTAATAGGATCCAACAGGTAGTAGGATGTGTGCTTTCCACTTCATTTCCTGTTCCTTGTTTGGTTGTGGGCTTAGAGCAGATTCACCCAACCTACTATCTATCCGATCTTAGCTATATATATATATATATATATATATATATATATATATATATATATATATATATATATTTCCGTATACACCAAGTAATCATAAGGAGTACCAGGTATGGGCCAGGTCACAGTATACTAATTCAATACACCGTTTCTAGTACAAAACATACTTTTCAAATAGAACATTTGGTAAACAAAACTAGAAACTTACCAGTAAAAGGTTTAATCCATTTTATTAAACCAGTATAACTTAAAGGACCTTAGTTGGTTAATTCTATAATACCTTAGTTTATACATCAGGGTTATATATAATTAATACACGATAGGTAGTTGGATGTGTGCTTTCCGCCTTACTTCCTGTTCCTTGTTTGGTTGTGGGCTTAGGGCAGATTCACACAACTAACTATCTGTTCGATATTAGATTATATATAGCTAGT